CAAGAGAGGGGAAGCAGGTTCAAAAAGAAGAAGAAAGGTTGGGGAAAAGGCAAATCGAATGTTCCAAAGGGTCCCCTATCCAGCCAGCCTAAATTTCCAGTTGATACAGTCTTGGATTATGCGGCAAAACAAGGTTTGATCACAATCCCTGAGGGCTTTAACATCGTCAACGGTCAACTTTCTAAGGGTAAGTTTTGCAAAATTCACAAATGCGATACCCATGAAACTGCGACAATGGACAATTGGATCAGTTTGTGAATAAACTGCGGCAGAATCAAGATCCCTAAAAGAGGAACACCTGGAACAGTGAGAAAGACGAGCCAGCCTCGACTTCAAAGAAAAGGGAGGTTGGAGCCCAGTTTGAGGATGATGAAGAAGGGGGAGATTCAGGCCGGCAGAAGCGCCCACATGTCAACCAGACCTACGGCGGACCCGTGGGAGGGGACACGACGATGGAAAGGAAAAAATGGAATCGCCAACTCTTTGTTGGAGAAATCAACCGTCTTCCTGCCAACAAAAAACAGAAGCGGGAATCCATTATCTTCACCGACAATGACCTGCCACCGTGTCCCCCACCACATAGGGATGCACTGATGATAAAAATGGAGGTTATTGATACCATTGTCCATCGAGTCCTCATGGATAACGGAAGTTCGGTAAACATTCTGTACATGAACACTCTCCAAGTGATTGGCCTTCAAAAGGCAGACCTCAAGCCCGTCAAAACCCCACTGTTCAACAAAGTCAAAGATTGAGTTCTCAAAGGGTTCAACAAAGACAGAAGCCAGCCTCAAATCCACGGCTGGGCAGCTTAAACTAAGCCTAAAGAGGGTCAGACAAAACAAGTAATTGGCTCCGAGACAAGCAGAATAAAGCAGAGGCAGTTATGTCATAAACGCGCAAAAGGTAAGTGCAGGAAAGTAAGGTGTTCAGTTTACAAGCCAACCCGAGGGTGGAACTTGAAAAATTTAATAGCCATGTTGAAAACTTGAAAAATGATGTAACACTTGAGATTTAATATAAACGGATTAATAGTACTACTCATACCAACAGAGGTGCATCTCCTTTTAAGGGAGCTCATTACCTAAGAACTCCAAAGTTAAGCGTGCTTGCTCGGGAGTAGTCTTGGGATGGGTGACCCCCTGGGAAGTTTCTCAGGGCGCGCATGAGTGAGGACAGAGTGCGCGGTAAAGGCTAGTGGTGGTTTGTGAGGACAGTACTATTAGTCTGGAGTAACTACCTCGGGTCCTGCGGGGCCGGGGTGTTACAAATGATCAGTCTCTTTCTAGTGATGTCATAAAATTGTGACTTTTACTTCCATAAAATGTCTCTTACAGTCTTACACTATATCTGATTATTTTATTTTATATCAAGTACAGATATATAATTTTTCTTAATATGCGTCAAATTTGATACAAAATCAAATTTTGAGTGATGTAGTAAGTATCCATTAATAGCCTGATTCTGCTGATTTCTTATTTTTAAAAGGGAACGGAGGAAGTGTAATAATAAGAAACAATAAGGTTGAAGTTACTTTTCTGTCTGTTTCGGTTGAAGTTATTGTAAAGGATTATTTTAGGTATTTTTACATATAATTTTTTCTTTATTTTATCAATAAAATATATTTTATATTTACCACTATATTCTGATCTCTTCTTTGATGCGTCTCGGAGTAAAGTCATCTTTTATTATTTGCTTCACTATCTAAGTAATAAGGGAAAACTGTCAAATAGGTCCTCGAACTTTCATAAAAAGGTCAATTAAGTCCTTCTATAAGAGGTTCTGTCCGGCCGTCGCGATTTGGGGCAGTTCCCGGTGGAATTTTTTGATGAAATTTTTTGAGCATCTTATTCACCAAGTCTAGTTTACTCATACCAAATTTCAGATTAAAATTCAATCGGGAACACATTCAAATTAATTCTTGAAGATAACTACGCATTTTTGCGTTCTCGAATTAATTTGAATGCGCTCCCGATTAAATTTTTAGCTGAAATTTGGTATGAGTAAACTAGACTTGATGAATAAGATGTTAAAAAAATTTCATCAAAAAATTCCACCGGAAACCGCCCCAAATCGCGACGACCGGACAGAGTCTCCTATAGAAGGACTGAATTAACTTTTTTATGAAAGTTCGAGGACCTATTTGACAGTTTTTCCAAGTAATAATGATTGCACCAGTTGCAAACAATAAAAATAATGTTAGATAATGTTAAAATAATGCACTACAATAATAGATGCCCCTAAAAAGCATTTTAGCAATTTATAGAAAATATATATTTCTTGTCCATGCTGATCAAATTAAGGAGTTTTTCAAAGTACATAATATTTTTGGCAACATTATATTTTTTCTAGAAATACTCCCTTTGTATTTCTTCTATTTTCAACATTATTTTTTTGCCCATGTTTATAGAAAAACAGTAGAGGACTAGAGCTATAGGGTAAAATGATAAAGTATGAAGGGAAAACTATCAATTAAAGGAGTGTTTGAGTTTGCTTAAAAAAAGCGCTTTTCAACTTTTGGCTTAAAAAAAGTTGAAAAGAGTGTTTTCAAATGACAACTTCTGCTTAAATTAATCACTTAAAAGTTAAAAGCTGGAAGCAGGTAGAGGGGTGCTTTAAACTGCTTCTCACTTTTTCTATTACACAAAAAGTACTTATTTTACCAAACACTACCAACTTTTACTTTTTCAGAATCACTTTTTTCTCAAACACTATCAACTTTTACTATTAATCACTTTTCTCAAAATCACTTAAAAAAATCACTTTTTTAAAGTTGAAGCAATTGCAAACACTCCCTAAGTCATCTTACTATCATCAAAATGTCAATTGAGCCCCTCTATTATGAAATCACCCAATCAACCCCTCAAACTTTAGAAAAAAGAGCAATCTAGCCTTTTACTCGGTAAACAACCGGTCATCAGGTTAATATGCTTAAGGTGTTGTTCTGTTCGTCTTATTCTTATTACTTATTACTTATTCTTATTTTATTCAGATCAGATCAGATCAGATCAGAAAAATTCAGATCAGATCAGATCAGAAAAATTCAGATCAGATCAGATCAGATCAGAAAGATTCAGATCAGATCAGATCAGAAAGATTCAGATCAGATCAGAAAGATTCAGATCAGATCAGACCAGATCAGAAACATTCAGATCAGATCAAAAACATTCAGATCAGATCAGATCAGATCAGAAAAGTTCAAACATGATTTATCACTTTTATTATTATATTAATTATTATTATTAATATTGTTATTACTATTATGATTATTATTATATAATTATTATTAATAATATTAATAATAATATGATAAAAAAATAAGATATTAATATAGTTATAATATTTTAATATAATAATAGTAATATAAATGAAATTATTAAGAAGACTATTATTATTATTACAATATAATAATAATAATGTGATTAATATTATTATAATATTATATTATAATTATATGTAATTATAATTATACTTACAATTATAATTCTTATAATTATAAGTATATCAATTGTAATTATTATAATTATATCTATAATTAATTATAATTATAATTGTAATTAATTATAATTATAATAATTATAATTACAATCATAATTATAATTATGATTATAATTATAATATAATATTATAATAATATAATACTAATTATATTATTATTATTATTATTATTATTATTATTATTATTATTATTATTATGTTATTGTAATAATAATATTAATATAATAATATTGTTATAATAATATTAATTGTATTTATATTACTATTATTATAATATAATATTATAATTAATTTTATTATAATTATAATTATTATTAATTATAAATATACTTATAATTATATTATAGTTATAATTTATGATTATAATTATTATTTTTATTATAATTATTAATATTATTATTATTGTTACTATTGTAATTATTTTATGGAGTAATTATAATAATATTGATAACTATAGTTACAATTATAGAGATAAATATTGTAATTATAATTACAATTATAATTATATAAGTAATTATAATTAAAATTATAATTACAATTATAATTATATCTATATTTATAATTAGTGTAATATGTATAAATTTTTTCATTTTAAATTTAATTTTAATTATTATTATTATTTTTATAGTTACGATTATAATTATAATTTTATTGAAGTTATATTTGTAATTGCAATTATAATAATTATAATTATAATTATAATCATAGAAATATTCAAATCAGATCAGAAAGATTCAGATCAGATCAGAAGGATTCAGATCAGATCAGAAACATTCAGATCAGATCAGACCAGATCAGAAACATTCAGATCAGATCAGGAAGATTCAGATCAGATCAGAAAAATTCAGATAAGATCAGATCAGAAAGATTCAGATCAGATCAGATCAGAAAAATTCAGATCAGATCAGATCAAAACTTAAAAAATTTAGATCAGAAACATTCAGATCAGGCGAAGAGAACAGCTTCTAAGTGCCGTTCCACGTTGTTAATTTCAAACTTATCTACCCGGTATTTTATTTAACCGACTTCTTTTTCTGCAACTTCATCATTCTGCTCAGTCTTCTTCATATGGGAGGTGGGACGAGGAACCACAGATGGTTTGGAGTCGAGAGGACATATCACCCACCACTCTTCACTAGTGTCGATATTTGGACTAAGCCATGTTTTACTGTTAATTCTTTGAAGCATCTCAGAGCTTGAGTCGTCTTCCTCTTGATTATACATCTACATAATCGTAGGAAAAGAAACTCTCTATGCATAACAATTCGACCTACATTTATAACGTGTACGTACAAAACAAACAACACGTACAAATAACATTTTCCACACAAAAAAATACCCCTCCGTTTCTAAATAAACTTCCAACTTTCCTTTTTTGTCCGTTCCAATAAAAATTTCCCGTTTCCCTTTTTGCAATTTGTGTGCCAAACTTATTTGAAGGGAGTAGCAAAACCAAAGACTGATAGTCTAATTGCACGGACAGGAAGTCAACGCCTGATTGGTAAGGTTGCAGGTGCTAGCAATGGGGGCGTGGTACGAAAAATAAAAAAGTACAGTAAAAATGAAGCATGTCTATAAATAATGGAATTTCGCGGATAAATTGGGCGGCTATTGGCGCGCGAAACCAAAGGCATGGAACTCGCATTGCCTAGTGGCTTTCTGGCCTCTCGTCCTCGCCAATGTTTCCGTTATGCCAAAACTCAATCCTCTCAGTTTTATCCAATGCGCAATTTCGAATCCTCCAGGCAAGGCTACTACGTAGACCGGAGAAGGTTGATCGGCGATGTCATGGCTACGATCGGCGGTGAGCAAAGCTGTGGAAGTCGGCGGAAACGGGAATATCACTCGCAACCTTCGCAGCTATGCGGGATCCGTTGCCCAGCATGCCGGTTACGCCGGCTTCGACGATGCAAAGAAAATTCACGACCGATCTGTAAATTTCTCCCGCTCTCTCCTGTCTCTCTGTGCGTTCTTGTTTCCCACACTGCACGATAATTCATGCTCGTCTGCTCGAACTTTTGAAATGCGACACCTGTTTCAAAATGTTTTCCGCACTGTTTTTTTCTGCCCCAGAAGTTTTTCGTATTTTCTGGTTTTTGTTGATATTTCCTGCAAATCTCAACCGTATACAAAGGGGATAGAGGCAAGGAGGACGGGAGGAGGAAGAATGATAATTTAATACACTTCAGAAAAGGTGTTTTCTTTAATACGTAGTTACAGACAGATGGTTCAGATGTTTGGATTTATACCAATAATAACATTTTATGAATTGATTGGTAGGGATTCAGAGGAGCTAGCTAGAAGTTCACTGAATTTTCTCATATTAAACATAATCTGGTCTCGAGTGGAGCTTTTCATTCGAAATTAATAGTCCAACTGTCCAAAATTTCCAGTAAAGAAATTTTGAATGACTACTTTTTAAGATAGTATCCAGCCTATGTGGATGTTAGTGTATGCCATATTGTTAAAAATCTCATCCTCTGTTAAAAAAAGAAAACTACAGTTTCTAGAGATCCTATGAATAGGCAAATAGCCCTAGACCCTAGTCATGTGGAATGCTCTAATCTGAACTAGTTTTTGTTGAGAATGTGTGATTAATAAATGAAGAACTTTTTGAATATCAAGTAGTATTATATTCTTGTCTTTCACTGTATGATGATAATGAGTCAAAGTGATTAGTAGTTATGATTAGTTCATGAATCATGATCGTGTATGTGACTTTAGTTTTGGACTGGATCTCAATCCAATGACCTCAAGAGATCACCTCTTAGTTCACGTGGCCGACCTACTGATTTTAGATAAAGATTATGTTGTTGTAGCAATAGAAGTTGTAGTAGTAATTTCCTTAGTTTATTTCTCCTATTTTGTGTTTTTAGCCTTTACTAAATGCTTTACAATTTTAGGGTCCTGGAAACATCAAGAGCTTTAAGCATGCTTTGAAAAGATTAGAAGAACAGTCAGTTTCTTGCAGAGGTATAGAGAGACTTCAGCAACTACGCAGGTGGTTAGTTGCTCTTAAAGAGATTGATAGATTGCATGGAACTAAAGCAGAAGCAGGGAAAAACATTGAACCCGTAGATATATCCATCTCAAAGAAGGATCTTCCTAAAGAACCTACTATGGTAAGTAAGTATCTTCTACTCACAATCTCACATGTATTACTTTAATTGCTATATAGATCAATTCTTTCTTACAGGAAAAGTGTTTTAAATATGTTTATATGCTGGCACTAGCCATGATATGTGATAGTGGTGCATGTGCTTTGTTGCTTTGAAGATTTTTTGTTGTTGAATTTTAAACTAAACTTATGATGCAACAGGTCAAGAGATATGATGAAAAATGTTGTTCGTGTTCCAATTTTTAGGCCTGTAGTCTTTATAACAACATTCCATTCTTAACTCTTCCCGTTAAATAGTGCCTTTTCTAAAAGCATGCATGAAAAGGTGAAGAGGAAGAAAAAAAAAAGCTCAAGTTACCAGGGGCGGCATAGCTCACCTGGTAGTAAGAGGGTGCCACAAAGGAGAGATCCCTTGTTCAACGCCAAGCAATGACTTGGGAATGGGCTGTCATCTTTGTTTTTTCTAAAAGCATGCATGAAAAGGTGAAGAGGGAGAAAGAAAGCAATTTTCCCCATCTTCACAGTAAAAAGTTTGTCGCAGCCATCCCTTTTTGTTAGCTTGATTGTTTGACCTGCGATTTGTAATGCTTGTCAGAGCCCTAGTTGTACCTCTGAGAACAGTTAATGAACTACCATTTTATATTCTTGATTTAGCTAAGCTCTTATATTTACTTCTTAATTCTTAATATATAACAAACAGGTTTTATATCATGATCCTGATCTTGGTGGGGAACCAATGAATTTTAAAGACTTGTTTCTTCGCAGTCAAGCTCTTGAAGGCATCGTCTTGTCAGTGGTAGGCTGAACACATTTTAGAGCTCTTACAAGTATGATCATTTGATAATTTCTCTGCTAGTGGGCACCAGTAGCCCTTTTTCATCTTGAGATCTTTTTGGGAATGCAATAGGCCGAGCTACAATTTAGTGACACTCGAGGGTGGAATGAAGGTTTTATCTTTGTTTTGTTGGTTTATTCTATTGCAATTTCTTGAATGTTTTTGCACTACACGCAAGCTAAGTAAATCATTGGGAGCATGTGGGAGGATGATGGAAGAGACTATAACCCAAGTCCGGGGGAGGACCTATATTATATTGAGGGTCAGCACATGCTACACCTCAAAAGTTGTTATTAGCCTAAGTGGTTGACGAATTGTGTAGAAGGATCTTGGATGCTACATGTCCCTTGTTCGATTCCCTTCAAAGTGCATCACTTGAACTTTTTTAGCACCCTTAATTCTTACATTGTAGGTCCAGTTAAGATCAAATATTTGAATTTAATTTTGAATCCCTCTAAGTTCAGCAGAGCATTCAGCCTCCCACCCCAGTCTCTTGCTTTGTTCTCCACCCAATTTCAACCTTTTAAGCTATTTTTAAATAATTGGGCATGGGGCGTCTTTTTTCTCTACATCAGTATTTTTAGCAAATTTGCTAAAAATACTTTTTTAGCAAATTTTCTCTCTCTATTGAATAACGAAGTGAATACGAAACATGTTGGAGTTTTTAAATTTCGTTTTTCACTACTATTAATCCATCATTTAGATATCTGATCTTTTGTATTGTTTATACATCTTGATGTATGGAGTATAATGTTTTTGTACATACACTTTTTATAATATAATCATTTTTTTATTTTATAAATAATTTCTAATAAAAATATATAGAAGGTCAAAGTTTAATTTCATTGACCAAAAGATTCAAATATGGTAAAGTTTTAAGAGACGGGAGGAAATATCGTGGTGTAATAATAATGAAGTTGGGTCGTGTTGTCGGTTTCATCGTAACTTTTTTTTTTAAAACCGCTACATACTATATATATGTGCATACACTGAGCTTCGATGCCTGGATCTGCCACTGCCCAAGTCAATCTCTTTTCAAGTCTGGTCCATTTACAAAGATACCGTTATTCTTTAATGCCATTCATGAAACTCGAATCTAGGAACATATTTCATCTCCTTTTCTCCTCACATGATTTAGTTGTAGTTTATTTGATTTCATTTTCACATAGTAATTGGCTAGGACAGTAGTCAGTTTTTAATTCCTTTTATGTTCACATTTGATTTGATTCTCCTTTTTCTGTTCGATTTAACTGCTGATTAAATGTCTCATTTCATTTAGATTCTTGAAGCACCAGATGATGAAGAGGTGTCATTGCTTACAGAGATCTTTGGGTAGTTCTTGTTCATCTCTTTTTGTTTTAAATGCTCTTTTTTATTTAGTATAAATCAAGGGTCTCAGGAAGGAATCTGACATGTTGGCTATATTGTGTTTTTACTTCTTTGGTCTTTTCCTTGAGTGTACAGACTCTGTCTTACTGGCGGGAAAGAAGTCTGTGATGCAACAATAGCTAGCATAGAAGCTCTGGCTAAAGCTTTCTCAAGCTATAATGATGAATTATTGGTAGTGGAACAAGAAACCTTAGCGATGTCATTTTACTTAAGGCGTGTTTGGCTATTTTATGCAATATGGCGTTAAGCAGCACATGATAATTCTTAAAATACTCCCAAAATTGCTAAAGTCTAGAAGCTACAAATTGTAGCCTCTTGAGTTTTGTTTGACGTTTTTGCTATTTATGGATCAAAATAACCTCTAACAAACTTTTTTCTGCAATTTAAAAATCGTTTTATACAATATACATATTCAAAATATTATTTTCAAAGCACCTTCTTTCATCATTTTCATTTACCCCAGTGCCGCAAAGGCTCCCACCCACGGTGGGGTAAGGGGGGGTCGGATGTACGCAGTCTTACCTCTGTACTGAAGCACAGAGAGACTGTTTCCAGATGACCCATAGTGAAAATCGCGTCCAAAATTGCATGGGCTGACTGCTACTTCATAACAAAGAAGCGCAGACAGTTTAGTGAACCATTTTGCTTTATTCCATCATATTCTCAAGCCAAATAATTTCAAAGCACCTTCTAAATAAAATTTTATCAAACAGCAATCAAAGTACTCAATCAAAACACTGTTTTGAAACCAATGTTTTTAAACAAAAAAACACCTTTTGAAAACACAACTTGTTCAAACAACAAAACACATTTTCAAATCCCTAACAGAAACACCCAATTTCCTATCTCCATACTTTGTGGTTAATTGCTTTGTTCTGAAGATATCAGAAAGTTAAGAAATTTGCTCAGCTCTCTCCGTTATCTCAGGCAAAGAAGGAAGACCTGCTTCTATTTGCACAAAGTGCAATTGCTGGGCTGAAAGTAAATGCTGACATAGCAAGGTTGTTAGAGACATAATATTACTATTTTCTGGTTCATTTGTTATATGGAATTTGTGATACCCAGGGAGTAACTGTGCCGTTTTAAACAGCTAATAACAGGGCTAGTTATCCATTTTCCTGCCTTTGGTACTAATGCAAAACTACAATCATAATTTTTTTATATTTACTGTTTCATGGTCTCTGCTCAGAATAGACTCTGAAGTCTCAAACATACAACAGGACCTGCAGAAAATGCAATGCTGGCCACCTTCAAAGGAAGTTGGAAAATCATGTGGGTCTTCTACAGAGATAACGGAGGCAAGTTATAGCAATTGCTATTATTATGCTTTATACTTCTACCATCTGAATAAGAAGTACCATACATAGTGGCTTAGCATTGTGAATCCTTAGCTTAGTGGCTTGAACCTGGTTCTATAAATTCTCACAGAGCTGAGACTGAGAATACGTAATTTATATTCTTCTTTGAGGATGATACTTTATATATATATATATATATATATATATATATATATATATATATATATATATATATATATATATATTAATCCACCAGGAAAGTTTACAGATTGTCTAAACTTGATCTTACTATGCAGACTTTGAAAGAAGAACTTGCTCAGATACAACTATTTTCCAAATTGGAGTCACTTTTATTACAGGAGAAGATTTTGCTCAATAGAAGTGAATCAGGAAACCATTTTCAAAAGGTTTGGCATCTAAATAATGCATTACTTTTCTTCGGGAAAGAATGGTTCATGAATAATCTTTGTAGTTATGATCACGTTGTATTTGATCTGTTTCAATCTTTACTCCCTTGCATGTCCTATATAACTTAAAACCGATCCAAACAAATGTGGTACTTAGATGTGGTTCCTTTATTAACAATAACAGAAATGCCATTTTGGGTAATTTCTTATTTTTGGGGGACTAATACAGTTATATTAGAACAATAATTTGGACAGCAAATGAGCCTCCAAGTTAGAAAGTCAGAAGTGGTCTACCAACAATTGTTAGTTTGACAAAGAGTATTTGTTTGTCCAAGGCCCTTATGAATTTTCTGAGATCTAACACCCAGAAGAGAGCAAGTGCCCTTATGAATTTTCTGATCTATGTTTAATAGCAGAAAGGTTTAAAAGTAATCATTCTTAAGTGGGAACTAATCTGAAGTCCGGCCTAGTCTAGTCACTTAGTCACTAGACACTCAAAAAGTAATTCTTTCAAAAGTACTTTATTAGATAAAATTATGGCCTTTAGGTAGCTAATACAAGATTCCAGGTACTTAAAGGAAACTAATGCTGAAATTAAGTAATTTAAGGCCTACTAAACTGAAATATGAAATAGCAACACATTCTAAAAGAAGTCTGTCAAAATCCGCCCTTAGGCCTCAGGTGCTGAGTTTAAATCCCATTTTAACTCCCAACTATTTGGTCTTAGACTGGTTTTCAGAATGAGTGATTGCCCTTCTACGACCCTTAAAAGAAAGGGAAGGAATACTCATTTGATCCTGGTCCCCGTGACTTGAAAAGGAAACTGAACTAGAAAGACAATGCCAACTTTATTTGCCGGATAGACTTAGGCTTGCTGCGCAAGCCTAAGCCACTTGGGATTCCATCCTGCATGCTTTTTCTATTGACTGCATCGGTTGGGCCACAAGGCATTTGTGTCGTTTTTTTATAAGTTGTCCTATAAAAGCATCCTCTTTATTTAAGTATAAAGAGGCAGTTTTGGAAATATTTCTAGAATACATTCTTTTACTATCTTACATTCTTCAAAGTCTTCACCAATACGTTTGGTTACACGTAGGTTGATAAGTTAAAGGTTTTGTCAGAGTCCCTTTCGTGCTCTGCTTCAAAAGCTGAAGAACGCATTTCTGAGAGCAGGTTTGTTTCTATGTTTATTTCCTCTCTCAGAACTAAACATTTCATGAATGATTCTAAATCAGTGGCCTGAAATAGAGAATATGCAAAAGCTAGTAGTGAAAATTGGAATATGCAGAGTATGAATGTACCATGCATGCAGCATACTAGAATTGTTCATGGAAATGATGACCAAACATTTCTGTTTCGTTAATGCTTTATGTCTATATAAATTTGGTTTTGATAAAGGTTGTGCTACTCTGTATTGCTCTTAACTATTATAATTTGATTCAAAATATTGTGCTCTTCCATTTGTGAATGAAGAAGAAGGCTGAAGGCCCATACAGGAGTGACATATATACTGAAATGATGCACTCCTGGAGTCCTGGGCTACAATCAGGTTTCTAGCCTTGCAAAATTAATACGTAGTTTGTACTTTGTAGGACCTCTTGGGCTTCATGGGAGTAAATTCCAGTCTGGTTAAAACCAAACACAACCCCATTTAGAGTTTTATGTAGCCAACACAAATGCTCAAATTACTGAATTCAGTGTGTGGTCATTTGCAATATAATTGATAATTGACCACACACTTCATGTTAATTGGGCTCAAATTATTTAACGTAATCGAAAAATGTTAGAACTCAGAGTTAGATTAAAATTGCATATAAAACTAGTATGCATTTATAAGATATTATACCTTCACTTGGATGTGTTGAAGTCTTGTATATGAATTATTACAAAAACATATATCTTTGTTTTTGTAATCGAACTGCTTGCTAAAAGTTAGTGTCATTCTCTCAACTTATATATGCATTTCTCTAACCAGACTTCAGAGAGAAGGAGCACTTAGCTTTCGTATTTCAAAAGCGAATGAATTCTCCCATCTTGAAAAGGTGGTGTTCATGGGGAATGTTATGGATCTTTCTACAATTGTTATTTTTTTATAAAAGGAGACAGGTTTTAGGTCCTTAACCGCGATTGTTTTTTTTAGGAGCTGACAGTCAAAATTCATGAACTTGAGAAGCAAAAAGATGATCTTGAAGCTGAGTTGATGAAGGTACTTATGATTTCTCTCATTGCCCTTAGAAGTATGAACAAGTCACCTCAAGTTGAAGGAAACGGAAAAACTATTAATTCATAGTTCAACAATGCTATTGCTACAGTAGTTATTAGAAGTTAATGAAACATTGAAATAGTGACTTGAGAATTATTGCAAACTAGACTTGTTTTGCATAATGAATGTGTGTAGGTAAATTCCACCTTGTCTTCTGCATATGCCCATCTACGCAATGCCAGGGAGGAAAGAGATCAGTTTAATGAAGCTAGCAATGAAATTATTCAACACATCCAAATGAAGGTATAATATCTTATAAATGCATTCTAGTTTTATATGCAATTTTAATCTAACTCTGAGTTCTAACATTTTTCAATTACGTTAAATAATTTAAGGAGGAGGAGTTTTCTAGATCTATTGCATCATACAGAGCTGAGGCAGACGTTTGTGATGCATTTATTTACTTCTTAGAAGACACACAGGGATTTGAATCATCATATATTAGACAAAAGGAGAAGCATGTCAAGTATGGAGCTATTATGATTTAATGGTTTTTATCCTTATTTTCAGCATACAGCTTTGTCAGCATCTATTAGTAAATACATGGGTAGCTCTTTTAACCTGTGGAACACTATGTATCTGTACCATTACATACAGTGATAGTGTGATACAGATACTCATGGATCATTTAGGATAATGCAAAATCTATTGTCTGTTTTATGTTTTTAAGTGAGGAACTGGAGAGATGTGAAGATTATTTTGGGGATTTGGTGATCCGCGTCTTATCTGCATACCAGGTATGTGGTTGTTTCTTTTGGAACTCTAGTGTTGTTTGATAGACTGTAATACCATGTAATTGAATGTATTAATTTACATTATGCACACACATGATTGCAATACATTACATCTTATGAAACTACAGCTAAGTGTTTTTGCTTTCAATATCTCTATAATATCTATCTCAACATCATGGGTACTTGTGTGGTTTATGCCTACAATTTATCAGGATGAGCTAGGGCCTTCTATTTTGAATGTCAAGAAACTTGCAGAGGACTTGATAGGGTATTATTGCTCATTACTGCATTTGAAAGAGTATGATAATTGAAGAGAATTAACCATGTTACTATGTTCGGACTACCAGGTCAGAGATCATGGATACTGCTTCAAACGGAGATAATAAGAGTGCAGTGGATGCAAGACGACGGCTGGAGGAGGAATATCTGAAAGCAGAAACCAAGGTATTAATGTTATGCGCTGCAGTCTAGCACCATTCAACTGCTCCTCTGTTTGTTATTCATTCTTTAATCCTTCGTTCTCCTTTCTTCCCCTCTCATGATCATTGTAGTTAATAACCACATTCAGTATTGTGGAAAGCATTAAAAAGCAGTTCTATGCGCAAACTGAAGGAATTTCAAGGTAATATGATGCTGCAGGCTTTATTATCACCCTACTTTCACCAGAAAGTGGTCAAAGTAGAGTTTTATTCATTTTCCACGTTGGATCCACTTCTCATCTCTCATTGTACTTAACTTTAGTCTAAAGTAATTAAGTTTAATCTAGGATGTTTGTTATGATGGAATACATTTACTTTTCATGGAAGGTAGATCATAAGAAACACATACTCTGTATTGAGTTTGTGTGGAACCTGAAAGCGATCAAAGTTAGGTTAAACTTCCTTTACATTCCACGAATGTGAATGACTAGGGGAAGGCGGGGAAGGGATTCCAATGGAAAGTGGATTAAATTCAACTCTGAACACATTTCGCCTGTCTAAAAATGTTTTTGGTTCGTGATAGAAATAAGTTCGTGATTTCTATCATTTTCAATGGAGCCGAAGACTCACTATTTTTTGTCTTGGGAATATGACGGAATAAAGCCAAATGACTCACTAAATTGTGTGCTCTTCTTTGTGTTATGAAGCAATAGTCAGCCCATGCAATTTTTGACGTGATTTTCATCATGGGTCATCGGAAAACAGTCTCTCTGTGCTAGTATAGGGGTAAGACTGCGTACATCCGACCCCCCTTACCCTACCGTAGGTGGGAGCCTTTGTGGCATTGGGATAATGTTGTTATTGTTGTATAGAAATAAGTTTGTGGGAATTGATGTACTTTCCACGGGGAAGTAATCAAATTAGACCATACTGAATCCTCTCCATGACTCCATTTCATTCCACCACCATTACTATGACTATAGGGGAACTTAATAAAAAATAATAATGATTTGTGTAACCACCACTTCATTTATGTTTCCTAAAAATATAGTAATGAAAGGGAAACTTAGAGAATATCTACAAACCTCAGTATGGCGGGCAGTACTCAAAGGTCGAGAGAGAATAAAATTGAGCTTTACTTTATCTTAACTGGATTGGTGTTCAGCATCATCATCATCATTACCCAGTGCCGCAAAGGCTCCCGCCTATGTTGGGGTGGGGGGGGTCGGATGTACGCAGTCTTACTCCTGTACTAAAGCACAGAGAGTAACTGCATTGGTGTTAATCGAACAAAATTGGTAGTGCTAATTATTCTTTTCCAAAACTAGTTAACCCTTATATTCATGCAAAAAACAAGGTTACAAAGTTTTATGTTCGTTGGTCTCCCCGTTGCAACCTTCTATAGATTGAAGGATGAGATTAATTTCCAAAATTGTTAACATTATAGGTAGTTTCCATTTCAATGGAAAATACCATGAAACTATGTCACCATAATGAATATGAGTTGTTATACCTACATCCATTTGCAATATCATGCACATCATGTAAAGCCAGACTCTCCTGTCCAGGAAGGATTATGAAAATGTGAATCAACAATTTGAAAGTCTGGGAAAGATCAAAGAAGAATTTGAATCCATCAACAGACCATCTCTGGAAGTTGAAACTCCTAGAAGGAGATCCAAACCATTAAAGTTGATGTCAGAACCCAACACTCCCCCATCTTTCAATCAAAATGTAGAACCCGTCACCCCTGGATCACCTCTGCAAAATGAAAGAACACATAGATCCCTGATGAAGGGGAGTCTGAGAAAGAGTCTATCTATGGCTATACGTCAGACAAACGACGCAGTAAGCTTTGCCCGAGGAGAAGAGGGTTTCATGTCCCAAAAAATCCTGAGAACAAAGTCAGTGGATCCAGCTGCGCAACTCTCAAAGCTGAAGATGGAGTTGGAACTTGAGAACAGTACCAGAGACCAATCTTTCGACGAAATTTATGACTGGGAATCCGATGTAAATGAAAAAGAGAGGATACACGTTGGTGAATGAGTTCTTACAATTCTTTTTTTACCCGTGACCAAATTGTGTTACTCAAGGTTAGTATATGCTTTATCAATATTGCACTCTTGGAATTTGTTACTTAATATATTTTGAATTTGAATAATGCATTCAATATTTTGTAGTGAAGAGGAAGACTGTTTAACAGGTGAGGGACACTTGCTGACATTCCCCATACATGCATACATGCATGCATGTATTCTCTGCTCTAATTCAGAATGCATCTAAACAAAATACTCCTACCTAGTAGTATATTATTATATCCAATCTTGATGAGTAACAAGTGCAGAGCACGTAAGAAAACGTTATATATTTAGGAATTTCCATTCTTACATTTGAATTCTATGCGAAGTATATTAATGCTACGTATTTTTATACACTTCTAGTCCTCTTTGACAATGTTTGATTTGGTGGGACCGTGGGAGTGATACTATTTTTATTAAATACGGAGTATATTTCTTAAATGGCTTGAATTTATGAATAATAGAATGACTGAATGCGTAGTACTGTGTGCGTAGACACATTGTTTAGGTAATAATGTGTTCTGTTCATTACATCAAGCGAAAAACAATGAAATAGAACCGGAGTTGTAACTTGTAAGTAGGAGTGTAACTGGTTGATTCTCTTGATCAGAACCAGAGCCTTAAAGAACCAATATTTGTCATAACTCATAAGATCCTGGTTTTGGTTCTATTTAATAGAGGAACTGAACTGGAGTAATTTCCTTAAGTACAGAATGAGGCCTAACCGCAATCATATTCGAAATTTGGACGATTAGTCCTAAGAGTTGGATCTTAATATATATAGGTTTCAGTTAAAAATCTTAATCAGCGGGATTGGGTCATTCTGAAACTTGATCTGGACCATATCCATCCTGGTTATAAGGTATGGCCTAAAAGTGAGAGAATGATGCCAAAGACAGTGGGGGACAAGTAGAGGAGCAAAGAAACTAATATGGGGGTCAAAGTCAGAATGTGCTGCCCCCTTTGAATTTTGTCAGGTGAGATCATGTGAGCAAACTGATAGGCGATACATTTTATTAAAAAAAAACTGTAAGTAGCTTAAAAATTATTCAAGCAGTTTCTCATCTCAATTTTACATTGTTTTTAAATCAGAAATATTGCATTTTCATTAGTACTCACTACTCCGAATTTAATACGAGTACTACGTAGTCTTCATGTTATACCCTATGTACGTATAGTACGTTTGTACTACCTTGATGCATTTTCTGGTCAATAGTTTGTGGTATGCTTACTGCTTGTACTGTCACAAAAGGAACGTTTTTGCTTTCTGTTTTACCTTGTTTGGGAGAGTCAAATGAATGAAGTGTTAATAATGGAAGTGCTAATAATTTTATCTTGAGGCAGAAGAAATGAGTAAGGAGAAGAGATGAAAAAGGCAGAGCATCAGACCTACGCCAATGAGATTCGGAGTGAGATGTCGAAACATTTTATGTTTTTAGGGTAAATGAGAAGGGTAATAATTGTCCAACACCTCAAAACACTCCAAATCGGGGTGTTAAAAAAGTGGACAATTGAGGTGTTGGGAATGTTATTATTAACACTTCCTAACCTTTACTAATACTTAACACCTCTTAGGGTCTGTTTGCAACAACTTCTACTTTTAAAAAAGTGTTTTTTTTTATGAAATGAGGAGAAGTGATTAAATAAAAGTTGATAGTGTTTGAGGAAAAAGTGATTTTGAAAAGTAAAAGTGGGTAGTGTTTGGTAAAATAAGTGCTTTTTGTGTAATAGAAAAAGTAAAAGCACTTTTGACGCGGAAGTAAAAAAAAATAAAAGTTGTAGTGTTTGGGAAAATAAGTGTTTTTTAAAGTCAAAAGCTGAGAAGTACTTTTTTAAAAGGAGCTGCAAACCAACCCTTACAACTGTTAGTATAAACATTTACTAACACTTCCATTACTAACACTCCCCAACACTCGATCCAAACAGGTCGTTAGAGTTAGGAGGTGTTTGGAAATTGGAACTGATTATGCTTTTGCTTCTTTTTTAAAGCAGAAGCAGAATCTAAATCAGTTTGCACAAGCTAGTCCTCTCCAGCTTCTAAAAGAACTGATTCTATAAATAAATTAGAGCATCAAAATCACTTATGCACTTTCAATCAAACACTCCGACTTTTGCTTCTGCTTCCTGAGGGAGCATAATCAATTTTATGAATCAGATCCAAAACACCTCCTTAAACTTTGTAAGTAGTGAGAAATTTATTTTCAAAGTGCTTTTCAAAATTCTTATGAAATAGGGAGTATTAAAAGTACTTTTATCAAGTTGTTCAGTTTCTACTTTATCAAAAATCACTTCCGTCATCGATGGGGTAGTCACGTACCAAATATAGGGAAAATTAAAGCACCCAATATAAGATTAATACAAGTTGAACTTTTCACTAAAAATAGAGTATATATAGCATAAAATAAACTTTTGCAAGAATCATTTTGTAATGAATGTAACTTTTCCATTCTAAAAGGTAGAGTTTTGTTGGCTTTCTCTTAAAAAATTAGCCGTTCCGGTTTTGGTGCCTCAGTTTGTCTAAGCATTAAGATTCTCTCCTTTTTGTCATGTAATTTCCAAGTTCAATCAATAAGCTTCAAGTGTACGTCACTTCACTCATGCAAATATTCTAAAAACGTTACTTTTATAGAGCGCACATGCATGACACCTACGTATCTCCCTTTCGTAATCCCAATTATGATTTTGTGTGCATATATCCATTTATATCAAATATCCGTTCTTTATTACGTAGTATTAGTCTTTTGATTTTTTTATTTGTCTCTCTCCATTTAAGGAATTTTTTTACAATCAAATGAATCAATATACCTTTATACTCCACTTTTATTATCATTACCCCTTTCTCTTTCATACTTTTCGTTTACCCACTACTCGTTACACCTTTTACACTACTCCTATTACTTTCCTCTTAAAACCCGTGCCAAATCCTAAGAGGACTAATATTAAAGAACGGAGGGAGTATTAGTTGTCCAAAAAGATTTAACCTCTAACCTCAATAGTTCTTGAATCCCCGACCCGACAGAGTATATGAAAGTTGTAAATCACAGTCATCATGGTGATTCACTTCAATGAATTTTAACGGTGCTAGACCTTATATTCACGCTCATTGTCTAAACTTTTCAAATGTGTAATTTTCATGTTAATTGGTGTGTCTGGACTCTGGACTCTGGTATTGAATATTGTTTGATATTTTATGAAATCGTGTACTAATTATCTAATAAAGATAATTAATTGAATATTTAATTAGTGAATACCAAATAGTCCTTTTTAATAAATATTAGTCGCACATATTACGATATTAGTCTTTTTTTATAAATAGTGAATATTTATGCGGGTAGTCGCACATATTAGTCTTTCTTATAAATAATGAATATTTTTAAACTCTACCCATACATTACATAAAAATGATGTGATGATAAATTTGATCTGATCACCATATTGTCTGCAATGCTATTATTAATTTTAAGTACGTGAAACTTCAATGTGCACTGGTTAGCACTTAAGGACGTAACACAAAGGAAGTTATGTGATGTGCAAATACACTATGCATAATATAAAAACGCACTCATCATAGTATTTTTATTCAAAACTTCTCCTTCCGTATTGGTGATTTAGCCACCATATTCGTGTTTATAGAAAACTATCAGGGTCGGTCGTCCTGCGAATTTCTTGACTTATGGGCGATTCTAAGCACGAGGAGCTAGCTAGCTAGACATTCATGAATTGGTAACCCCTCAATCTTACCTCAAAGGAATGGCACTACTTGTGTAACACCCGCCCCAAAAGGGCCCGAGTTAGTTATTTTCTAGACCTTTAATTAGTACTATGCTACAAACCTTTACAAGCCTTTAACGCGCACTTTGTTTTCACTCGTGCGCGTCAAGACCATCCATCCAAACCTACTCCCGTGCAAGCACGCTTAACTTAGAGTTCTTAGCTAATGCATCTTTTTGGTATGAGTAATAATATTAAGTTTTTTAAATTAATCTCGAGTATTATAACTTTTGCCCTATATTTGATTTAATTTTGGAACAGACTAAACAAGAAAATTGGAAGAAACTATAGGATCGATGGAAAATATTTTAATGCAAAGTTATACTCCTTTCGTCCCTCATCACTTTTTTGAGTTTGCCCGACACGTGAAACAATAAGATAAAATTGTTGAGATTTGTGCAGAGAAGAGAGAAACTTATCGACAAATTAATTGACTAAAACAAAAATAATCAATTTTGGGACATTCACTTAATCACTTATACTATCGTACATGACTTCACTTATAGTATCGTTCATGACTTCATTACATTGGTGAAAAGAAAAGAGAGTCATTCACTAAAATTAATTATGTAGTTCTCCTCACAAAAAAATTGTAGTTCCTTGACGAAAGTATAAACGGTCAATATTATTTTAAACAAATTCTATATATGCTTCTTGATGAAATATTATTTCTATTACGAATATATATTAGTGGTAAATATCAATAACAAATTTCTATCATTTCCGTATTGAATTGATTTTATTTTTACAATAATAATTTAGTTCAGGTAAAAAGAACATTTTAATTTAATAGAGTATACATCGGTCAAAAAACTATGACAACTCTTCACGGCAATTATGGGAGAATGGGAACTAATTAAGGAATATATCATTTTTGACAAACTTTTATTTTATCATACACCAATTTGGAATAGGAGTATAGGACTAGTAGTAGACCATCTTTTTCGTTCACTGAAGGAATATAATTATCTTCGCAGATAATCCAAATGTTAAAAACCAAACCAGAGATGAAAATAGTCATGAAAACAATTGGAGATATATGGTTGTAGCATTTCTTGATGGGATGGCGAATGATGCTTAATAGATAAAGAAGACATCTCACACATCTATGAGCTGTTTGGCAACACTATTTTTCGGCTTATCGAGCTTATCAGCCAACTTTTTCACCAAACACGTAACTTTTGTTTTCACGCGCTGAATTGTGTAAAAAGCAGAAAAAGTAAGATTGGAGTTACTTTTCTGGCTGTATTAGCAAAATATTTATTAATAAAATATATTTTAATTTTAGATGACCATTTTAGCTATTTTACACATAATTTTTTCTTTATTTTATTAATAAAATATATTTTAATTTTTTTCTTAAATCAGCAGAATCAGCCAATGCAGCCACTTCAGCCAGAACTTTATAAATTTCAGCAGAATCAGCCAAAACAGCCGATTTTCATGCTACCAAACGGGCTCTATATATACTACGTATATGACGGTTTCAATTTATAAACCATGATAAAATTTGAATTTAATTCGTAATATTTAAATCATTTGATCATAAAAAACAATCCATTATATATAGTTAGCTATG